CTTAACTACATATTAAAATGAATTATTGCATACATGTAGAACAAAAATTTCCAAAAAAAAGTTTTAATTGGTGGTCCAAAAAGTCTCCTAATTCATGGTTTAAATATAGGTTTAAAAGGTACGGAATAAATTAAATTAAAATAAGACTTAATAATTGTATCAGGTTTTATTTTTAAAAACTATTAAAATTAGAGTGCTAGCACCCTTCCCCCAAAAACTATTTAATGGGATATAGACATGAAAAAAGTTTGATGTATTGTATGTTCCTTATAAATAGTATTATAGCATTACATATTCTTGCAGGAAAAAATTATTTCAGAAGAGCAATTTAAAAAACATTTATTCCCTAATAATCTCTTTGAATGCAGAAAGAAAATAAATGGCATTTAAATTTAAGCCTCATATAATTACTGATTCACTTTTTGTTGTTGTTTGATTGGTTCTGTTTTCTGAGACAGGGTCTTATTATACAGCCCTAGTTGATCTGGAACTCACTATGTAGATTGGGCTGGTCTCAAATTTACAGCAATCCTCCTGCCTCTGCCTCCTGAGGGCTGGAAATATAAGTGTCTGTGCACCATCATGCCTAGCTACTGACTCATTCTTACTACTATCAATTCAAAGTATTTACGTCCTTACTTGTGCCATTTTTGCATTGAGAAACTATTTGGTAGTTTAGCAATTCAGGTCTGCTTTGCCTTTTTATTTAAATTTACTAATGTTTACTTGAATGTTTTGAAATTGACTAATGTTTATGTCATGGGTACTTTTTTCCACTAGAAAACTGTTCTACTGAAAACAAACTAAACTTATACCTTGAAGGTTCTTTATGCGTTGTGGTAGAAAAACTAATTAGCAAAACAAAATTGAGTGATTTATTATTTATTATTATTAGACATTTATTATGTTAATTTCACTCACATTCTAAACCTCTGAAACAATTAAAGGAATGAAATATTAGACACAATATATCCTTTGAGAAATAAACTTTAAAAATAAAACTATAGGGAAAAATAGCTATACTTTAAAAAAAAATGGGTATGTAATTAGGTATCATAGCAAGCCAAAAAGTAGATTTAAGCCAAATTAGTATTGGACTTCATACCAGCTCACCTAAGAACCATAAAGTAAAAGGGAAAAAAAAAATTAGCATCATGAGCCAGGCACAGTGGCATACGCCTATAACCCCAGTTCTGGGGTAGCAGAGGAAGGAAGACATTCAAAGTGGGGTCTGCCTAGATTCTGGTTAGGTTATATAGTGAGATCCTATCTCAAATCTTCTCCAAAAAAAAAAAAAAAGAACATCATGAAGGACCTTAAAAGTAGGTCTAATAAAGACAAACTATCAAAGGACAATAAAGCTTAAAACCATAAATTAGGACAATTTTCAGACCCATTCAAGTTCCCTAAAACCTGTAAAAAATATTCAACAGCCGGGTGTGGTGGTACATGCCTTTAGTCCCAGCACTTGGGAGGCAGAGGCAGGCAGATCTCTGTGAGTTTGAGGCCAGTCTAGTCTACATAGCAAGCTCCAGGCCAGCTGGGGCTACAGGGAGATCCTGTCTCAAAAAGACAAAAAAAAATATTAAACAGCATATATATGTGCATATACATATGTATACACATAGGCAAGCACTCATACACACATATATGGCATAGCATAAACTAGGTGGCTTTGGATAATTTCTTATATTTACAAAGCTTACCTTAGGTTAATACTTAGAGAAAAAAAGTTTAATTTAGGAAATTTCAACTCACACGAAAGAATGGAAGCTCTACATTTTATGATATTTTAACAATGTCTTTTTTTAAAAAAAAAAAAAAATCCTAGCATCACCATCAGTAGAAAAACTGGTGTAGTACTACAGAAAATCTACATGACAAAATTTGCTGGGCATATTCAATCAGGATTACTGTCTTGGGAACAAGTCTTAAAAATAGTTTATTTTCCAGTGTTTGTACTTGGTAAGTAGAGCTAAATTCCTAAAAGAGTAGTTGTAAGCAGAGTTAGCACTGCAAGCAATACTGTGTATAAAAGAAAAGAAGGACAACATCCACAACACCAGGATTTCAAAACAGATTACTGGAAGCAGTTTACTTGATAAAACAGATTACATGAAGAATAACAAGAACCAGAAAATGCCCAAATTCTCTCCTGGCAGCAATAATATGAAAAGGTATTTGATGTTCCTACTACATATTGAACTATTTCAGATTAAGATGTTGGTTCAGATTGGAGTTAGTGAGGCACTGAGAGGAATGTAAATAATGCAAAGACAATGCTCATGTATGAAATTCTCAAAAAAATTTAAATAAATTAATACTTTCATCAAAATCAAAAGTTCCAATTTTAAGAGTTACAAAAATCCAAAGTGGATCCAAACAGTAAAGATCTATTGTGGATCAAAGTGAATATAGTTTTCCTCCTAACTACTGATCAAATGAGGGAATGGGTTGCCCACAAAAATAGCAACCACCATCTTCTGAAGTACTTGGCTACAGAGATGAGTGTCAGTATCACGAGCCTAAAGGAGAGTCAGTATTCAAATCATAGCTCCCCACGACCTGTCTTGGTAGCCAGTAAGTCATATTCATTTTAAAGTGGCTGTATCATCAATTAGAAATATGTTCAAAGAACTTCCCAATGTGAAGGCCTTTCCTACAATCAAAAGTTTTATGAAAGTGCAAAAGTAGAAGCAAACCTACAAAAAACCTGTCAAAATGCAAAAGAAGAATTTTGTAGTAAATACATGGTTACTTTTATATGCATCATACATAGTGCAAGGTGGGATATTCTTTAAATTTCTTCTGATTTTTAAATATATATATATAATAAATATTCACACATGCATGATAAAGAAAGATGTTGCCAACTTTTCCTGGCAAGTCATAAAAAAGATAGTGAATTATTTCAACTTATAGAAACTTTGATTAGAGGATGTTGCTTAACACTAAGTCAAATATACTCATGAATAAACAGAAATGTGATCTAATATTAAACTTTTGGCTCCTTCATTTTTTTTATACAATGTTATTTTTCACAGGAGAGGGCAAGTAATCGCTAAAACAAGGAAATGTTAATTTCTTGTATAATTTATCTTAACACAGCAAATACTTTCTCACTAATTCATTCATGGGTATGAGAAGCAAACTGTATATATGTTTAAAAAAAAAAACTCTCTACTGCCGAAATTAAAAATCTAGCAGCAGGTAAAGCATACACAGCAAGTTACAAAGCTGAACAATATATAGCATTAAAGAAGCAACCTTTCCCTAATCAACTTTTTTCAAAATAACTTTTTTTAAAAGAAAATGCAGTTTCCTAACTCAAAGTAACCAAATTCTCAAAATCACTGTAAGAATATTGTCAAAGAACAGAAGTGAGATATTACTGAACAGCACTAGAAATGGTTTTTTAAAAAAATAAAAAATATGATTAAAAACCTGAGTTTTTATTTGCAGAATCCTCTAGGTTCTCAGCATTTGAAGTGGCTAAATTTTGGTCTAGAGATACAACAGCCTTTTTATCTTCATATGTTCTTGCATCTGGATTATGGTAGGCATCTATATTTTGTCTGTGCATCCTATTCAAATCAGCTGAGAGGGAAAAATAAGCCATTTACTTCAATAAACACATTTGCATAATTACTCGTAAGCTTAATACATTTTCTTAAAATAGGGAATCATAGAGGAAAAAAAAAAAAACCAATAGGACAAAGCTAGGAATAATTCAGTGACATGCTGGAGCCCTGAAACACAAACAAGTTTATTGAAACCTTTAAAGATTAATTAAAGTCTGTAAAATAAACTCAAAAGCAGTAGAGAAATTAAGGATACATGAGACCTGGACATTCCATCAAAGCTTCATTAACACGATCCATGCCACTTCAGAATTCAGAATTTCCTTAATACAGAATAAATATAGTAGTAGCAATTCAAAACAAATCATAGTGAAATTTATCCCAAATCACCAGATCTCCTAAAGAAAATACATGTTCATGTGGAGTCTTAAAATATATTCACAAATGTGAAACTCAATTATATTCCTCTTTAGTGTCCACTTAGGTACTTCTTATGACTAGGACACTGCGATTATATGATTTCCAAGGCTACTTTACAAAAAACATGATTTACACTTTCTTGATCTATTAATCAGCTCACTGCAAAGAAAGTCAATTGTCAAGTCACAAAGGCACTGAAGGAGTCCTATGGAGAAACATATCTGGTAAGAAACTGAAGCTCCCGAGCTATGCATGGAAACCAGAGAGAACATGAATCCAGTCCTACATCAATACTACAATCTCAGGGGAGACCCTGAGACAGACACATCCAACAAAACCACTCATAGATCACTGATCCAAAGAACTGCAAATAAGTATTTTTTTGTTATTTTAAAACACTACCACCTTTGAGGTAGTTTATTCACCAACAGATTTACTACATCTATTAAAGATCTAATATCTAGGTGGGCTGGTAGAGTGTTTGTCTATCATGTACCAAGTGAATTAAACTACTAATCAATCTCAGAAACAGACCTGGATGTTTAGAGAATTCAATAGAAAGAACTGCAAATAAGTATTTTTTTGTTATTTTAAAACACTACCACCTTTGAGGTAGTTTATTCACCAACAGATTTACTACATCTATTAAAGATCTAATATCTAGGTGGGCTGGTAGAGTGTTTGTCTATCATGTACCAAGTGAATTAAACTACTAATCAATCTCAGAAACAGACCTGGATGTTTAGAGAATTCAATAGCTTAAAAAAATAACCTCTCTACCCATCCCCACCGCCAAAAAAAAAAAAAAAAAAAAAAAAAAAAAGGAAATAAAAAAAAAAAAAAAAAGAAACTAAATTTAAATTAAAAAAAAAAAAGGTTTTTTCTGGAAGAATTGTGGTAGTACATGCCTTTAATCCCAGCACTTGGTAGGCAGAGGAAGCCTGGTCTATAATAGTGAGCTCCAGGCCAGCTGAGGCTATAGAAAGACCCTGTCTCAAAAAAAAAAAAATCATCAGTTAACTAGGATACTAAGATAGCAACAAAAGTGAACTTAAATTCAGATATAAGATAAGAAGTGTTTGTCTGGAAGAATGTTAAATTCAAGGGTGCATTTTGAATTCTGACTCTTAATTATGGTATCAGTGAGAACATGACAAATAGCATGTGAAGCACAAAGGAGAACAGAAATTTAGAACACTGACAGTTTACATCCTAATATTACATTTAGGGCATTTTGGACTTAGAAAATGGACAGGAGCTTCAAAGGGAAAAAACAGTTGGAAGATTAATAGAAAAAAGCAGGCTCACCAGACAACCCAGAGAATAAAGGTACTTGCCACACAATCCTGACAACCAGAGTTTGATCCCTGGAACCCACAAAAATGCAGTAGCTCACATCTGTAATTCCAGCACTCTGACAGCAAGGTGGGAGACAGACAAGAAAATCACACCAGAAAGTTCAGAAGTTCATAGCCCAGCTAGCCTAGAATACACAGCATTGCACAAATGAGAGAACTGCCTCAACAAGGTGGAAGGAGACAACTAACTCCTGAATGCTGTGCTCTGACACATTTATGCCCACACCCTTATTCATACATACAATACTAAAAAAATTTTTAAAGGGGAGGGTGGTCTGGAGGGGTGGCTCGGCAGTTAAGAGCACTTACAGCTCTATAAGAGAACCAGAGTTCAGATCAAGAAGCTCATAAACACCTGTTCAAGGGCTCCAACACTCTCTTCTAGCCTCCACAGGCAGGCGCGTTGACACCACACACACACACACACACACACACACACACACACACACACACACCACAAATAAAATAATTTTTTTAAAGAAATAGAAAATATAGGACTAGAGAAGCTGTTCAATTGCACTTGCTATGCAAGCCTGGCAAAATGAGTTCAGATTCCCAAACCCATATAAAAACAAGACTAAGTAGGACAAACTTTGTAATCTCAGCCTCTATGGGGAGAGATGGGAGGCAGAGTCAGAAGAATCTACAGAAGCTTCTAGGCCAGCTAGCATGGCTTACTCAGCAATAAACATATCCTGTCTCAAAAAAGGTGGAAAGAGGACAGACACCTGAGATTGTCCTCTGACTGCCAGGACACATGCCCCTGCACCTACAGACATGTCAGTGCACACATATACATACACAAACACATTCACATATAACACACAGGGAGGGAGGGAGGGAAAATGTGAGAAAATGCTCCAATGGAGTTAAATATGAAGAATTGAGTGAAGCACAAAGCACATGTGAAAGAACAATGAGCAATGCAATAGCAAACTGTAGATTCTGGGCTGAGGAGCTACATCAGTCAGTAAAGTACCTGCCAAGCAAGCATGAGGACATGAATTCAGATCTGTAGCACTGGCATTAAAAGTCAGGCATAGTGGCACATATCTGTAACCCCAGGGTTGGAAATGTGGGGCTACACAGAGAGGAGGATCCCTGAAACTCATTGGCCAGACAGTCTAGTACAATCAGTGAGTGCCAGGTTCAGTGAAAGACCTTGTCTCAAAAATAACAGAGCAATCAAGGCATGCACCCAGTGATGACCTCCGGCTCCACCACACACATATATACAACCCACATGAAAATGTACATATACCCCAGAGAGAGAGAGAGAGACAGAGAGAGACAGAGACAGAGACAGAGAAAGAGAAAGAAAACTAGATTAGATGCCTATTCCAGAATAGTCTAAAACACATTCCAATAGTCCTCATTTTTTCTGTAGATGATAGAGTTTTGGAATTCACTGAAATAGCACTAGTAACAATGATATATTCAGTTAAATTTCCTTGCTACTGTGAAAGAAACAAAAGGGAGGAAAAGGGCTAGAGACATTGGTAGAGCATGTATGAGACACTAGGTTGGATCCCCAGCACCACATAAACTGGTGCATGGTGACATATGCCTGTAATAGCAGTACCCTGGAAGAGGGAGAAAGATTAGAAGTTCAAGGTCATGCTGGAGTTTGAGGCTAGCCTGAGATAAATGAGACCCTGTCTCAAAAATAATAAAAATGGAGGGCTGTAGAGATGGCTCAGTGGTTAAGAACATTGGCTGCTCTTGCAGAGGACCTGGGTTCGATTCCAAGCACCCACACGGCAGCTAACAACCATCCATAACTCCAGTTCCAGGGGATTCGATGCCTTCTTCTGACTTCTGTGGGCACTGCACAACATGGGTACACTTACATACATGCAGGTAATATATTCACACAAATATTTTTAAGTTAAAAATATATTTAAAAGGCCAGGCATGGTGGCGCACACCTTTAATCCCAGCACTCAGGAGGCAGAGGCAGGCGGATCTCTGTGAGTTCAAGGTCAGCCTGGTCTACATAGCGAGTTCCAGGACAGCTGGGGCTACAGGGAGACCCTGTCTCAAAAAGAC